CAAGCAGCAGGCTTTCCATGGGGCAATTTCTGTCAGGAGCGATGGGGCGTGCGGAGGTCGCAGGGGAGCAAAGAGAGCAGGTGCTGCCTCCTCCAGCCCAAAGCGCAGAAAACCAGCAGAGCCGGGACTGTGGCTGCTAGCCCATGAGGCTCACAGGTGAGTCGGCCTATTGGAGTATTGGGGGCTTGCCCAGTTTCCATGCAAGGAGGGGAAAAACTGGGAGCGTCCTGGGATTGAGTTCTGCATCTCCCCTTCGAGGTGGGACGACACCCTGGCACTGGCCGGGGTTTGGGTCAGCACCGTCTTGGGATTGTCTGACTCCAGTGAGGCAGGCTGAAACTCTGTATTGGGGGTTGGGTTAGCACCGTCTTGGGTTGGCTTGGCTTGTCTGCCTCATCTGCAAGGCAGGACAAGCTCTGGCTCTCTCAGCACCATTTTGGGATTGGGACAGTCTGACTCTCCCATGAGGCAGGCTGAAACTCCGTCTCCGTCTTGGGGTTGGGTTAGCGCCGTCTTGGGTTGGCTTGTCCGCCTAATCTGCAAGGCAGGACAAGCTCTGGCTCTCCCAGCACCATTTTGGGATTGGGACAGTCTGACTCTCCCTTGAGGCAGGCTGAAACCCCGTCTCCATCTTGGGGGTTGGCTTAGCACCGTCTTGGGTTGGCTTGTCTGCCTTATCTGCAAGGCAGGACAAGCTCTGGCTCTATCAGCCCCATTTTGGGATTGGGACAGTCTGACTCTCCCATGAGGCAGGCTGAAACTCCGTCTCCGTCTTGGGGGTTGGTTTAGCGCCTTCTTGGGTTGGCTTGTCTGCCTCATCTGCAAGGCAGGACAAACTCTGGCTCTGTCCTAGGTTTCAGTCAGTGCCATCTTGGGATTCGGATTCGGGACAGTCTGACTCTCCCGTGAAGCAGGCTGAAATACTGGCTCCAACACGGAGGTTGGGTTAGCGCCGTCTTGGGTTGGCTTGTCTGCCTCATCTGCAAGGAAGGACAAGCTCTTGCTCTATCAGCACCATTTTGGGATTGGGACAGTCTGACTCTCCCGTGAGGCACGCTGAAACGCTGGCTCCGACTTGGGTTGGCTTGTCTGCCTCATCTGCAAGGCAGGACAAGCTCTGTCTCAGTACCATTTTGGGATTGGGACAGTCTGACTCCCCATGAGGCAGGCTGAAACTCCGTCTCCGTCTTGGGGGTTGGATTAGCGCCGTCTTTGGTTGGCTTGTCTGCCTCATCTGCAAGGCAGGACAAGCTCTCGCTCTCTCAGCACCATCTTGGGATTGGGACAGTCTGACTCTCCCATGAGGCAGGCTGTAACGCTGGCTCCGTCTTGGGGGTTGGGTTAGCGCCGTCTTGGGTTGGCTTGTCTGCCTCATCTGCATGGCAGGACAAGCTCTGGCTCTCTCAGCACCATTTTGGGATTGGGACAGTCTGACTCTCCCGTGAGGCAGGCTGAAACGCTGGCTCCGACTTGGGGGTTGGGTTAGCGCTGTCCTGGGTTGGCCTGTCTGCCTCATCTGCAAGGCAGGACAAGCTCTGGCTCTCTCAGCACCATTTTGGGATTGGGACAGTCTGACTCTCCTATGAGGGAGGCTGAAACTCAGTCACCGCGGTTGGCTTAGCACCGTCTTGCGTTGGCTTGGCTTGTCTGCCTCATCTGCAAGGCAGGACAAACTCTAGCTCTGTCCTGGGTTTCGGTCAGTGCCATCTTGGGATTGGGATAGTCTGACTCTCCCGTGAGGCAGGCTGAAACGCTGGCTCTGTCTTGGGTCGGCTTGTCTGCCTGATCTGCAAGGCAGGACAAGTTCTGGCTCTCTCAGCACCATCTTGGGATTGGGACAGTCTGACTCTCCCGTGAGGCAGGCTGAAACTCCGTTTCCGACTTGGGGGTAGACTTAGCACCGTCTTGGGTTGGCTTGTCTGCCTCATCTGCAAGGCAGGACAAACTCTGGCTCTGTTCTAGGTTTCAGTCAGTGCCATCTTGGGATTGGGATAGTCTGACTCTCCCGTGAGGCAGGCTGAAACACTGGCTCCGTCTTGGGTTGGCTTGTCCTGCCTTGCAGATGAGGCAGACAAGCCAACCCAAGACGGAGCCA